ATGCTAAAATACCCCCAAAATTTTGGGATATTACAGCTTTTCAGATTCATGACCACCCTATAACCATAAGTATCAATACCTAGTCATTTTAGGAAGAGTGTTAACACTTCGGAAGTAGCTCGATGTGCTGATGGGTGCATACCGTAATGGTGACGGAAGGGAGGTGAATCGGAAGTACTACGATTGCGATGTGTGCCGCCTCTACTTGTCCTGCCTTTGTCCTCACGAGTTCTTCCAATTAATGGTATTCTCCTGATTGATTCCTTAATTTTTTTTTTTTTCTGAATCTTTTCTTTATGTTTCGTTAATTGTTAAATGATTCATACCCATCTCTTTCCTTTTGAACCCTAGTTTATGCATTCGAATACGTTATCTGTGTTTTGGTTTCTGAGGAATTTGGTGTTTTCGAAGCAAGAAAAGTTTAGAAAGAGAGATTGGTTGAGTTGGGGTGAGTGTGGGAGCAACAAATCATTTGGTATTTGTTATGCCCTAACTCCTGATTAAGAAGAGATGAATTGAAAGTTGTGTCATTGGTTTTATTGTGAAAAATGGGATTCTGAGATAGAGGGAGAGAGGAAAGTTGCTGAATTAGTGGTAAGCTTGAATTACATGTATTTATGAAGACTGCTACTGGAAGCATTTTGAAAAAGGTTTTTAATGAAATATAAGGAACAAGAGAAAAGAAGCGGTAGTTGTGTATGAATAGCTGAGCTATGTTATTATTAGCTATTTTTGGGTTAGTTTGGTAACCTATTATCTGTATAAATTATAACAAGGGTCATGGATATAAGTTTTCTATTTTATCATGGGTATATTTGGAAGAGATATAAATTTAACTGATGCTATTTCTGTTTACTTTCAATTGCTTATTCTGATTACTTGTGAGGTGTCATAAAGAAAATCGTGCTACGGCATTAAATTCTCTATTTATCATGGGTATGTAAGATAGAAGACAAATAAACTAGGTATTTTTTGTTGTGATCCATGTTTCTTTATAAATTTAATTAGTGTCTCATTTACAATCCTATTTTTTATTGTCAACTGGTATGACACATATCATTTTATGTGTTGAGGAAGGTATTTTGGTAAGTTTCTTAGGTAGGTACCATATGCCCTTGTGGTATTCACAGGTATAATTGTTCTTATGTGGTAAACTCTTATATGTTCAACCTTAGCTTTTGGTCACATTTGAGTTGCAGATACTTGTTTATAGTTTTCTCTGCAAGTTATCAAGACTTTGGGATTTCTGATTTCAAACTTGTTGTTTCGTCTTGTTTTCTTTTTAAGTTACTGAGACTTTAGGATTTCTGATTTTGATCTTGTGTTTTCTCTTGTTCAGAAAATGGATATGGGGCCATGTCCAAAGGTCCACTCTTTGCAGCTGAGGAGAGAGTATCCTTATATTACTCACAATGCTGGATAGGTGCTTTTTTAGTAGTAGGTACTTTATGTTTGTTTTTCAAAAGTAATGTCTTCGCTGATGATATGCCTATGCCATGCACTTTTAGTACTTTCTTTATTTCTGCATATGTGGTTGCTTAACCCTTCTTAGATATCAAGAAGCTAAGGCAAAAGGCATCGATAATTATGACAGAGAGTTGGAAGATGCTATGACAGGCTCATTGTTGAGTGTGATAGGAAAATTGCTAGAGCTCTCAAGCATCTTGAAGATGAGGATGCAAAGGCCACTATTGCTATATCAGTCTCTGAAGTTACTCAGGTTTTGGATAAATCTTAATTTTATCTGTCTGGCCTTTCTCCCACTTGGGACTTACAGATTTATTTATTTTCTATGTTGATGTTACAGACACCGGAAGTACTAGAGCTTTCAAAGCAGATTAAGAGCCTGTTTAGTGGAGCTTTTTGGAGTTTTTACTTTTTTAGTACTGTTTATGAGTCACAAGTTTAAATTTTTATTGGAGGAAAAATTTAAAAATTGCTTTTAAAAATAGTAAGAAGTGAGTAAGAAGTGAGTAAAAAGGAAGTTTATAAAAAGTAAAAGTTTGAAGCTTTTCAAAATTTACTGTTTAAGATCTTTTTAAAGTTAAAAAAAATTAAAAAATGTAAGTTTTTAAAAGGGAAATTGAAACGTATGAAACATGAATAATGTCAAAAAGTTGAAGCACTTACAAGTTTCACCAAGCATGCTCTAAGGAGAAATTGAAATAAGCTGACCAATATGGTATCATATTTTTGCACTAGCTTGTTTTCTATTTTTTTCAGGGCTGTCTCTAAGTTATCACCTAAGATTTTTTCTTTTGAGAAAATTTTTATTTATTCATCCTCTTTTTTTTTTTTGAAAGTTAAGCTAACATTGGAAGCATCTGGCTTCATGTGTTATTAGTTAAGTTTTTATGATTTGATTTTTGTTGAAATCTATCTACTTTTGACGTTGAGTTTGTGATTTTATTTCACTTTTATGCTTAAATTCCTTGTTTTCAATTTGCCTTTCGAAGGTTATGTATAAAAGGAGGGGGTGAGGGTTGGGCGGGCAGCTAGTATTTTCTATTGAGGTTTTATACATATGAGGTGTGACTCTTGAATTGGAACAAAGATGCATTTTCTGCCTTGCCAATTGATGATGAGTACTTGATTTGTTTTCTTTGATTTAACTTGGTTATTCTTCTTTGAATTAATTGATTCAGGGTGATGTCCAAATTTATAACGATTGTTGTGAAGTTTTTGTTTGTAGGTTCAATAGATTTCATAAATTTTAAGATTTTAATTATATGGTACAGAGGGATGACCAAAGTTGGAGTTTGACTGCATTCCTCATTATTTCAATGCTAAGGTGTTTAATTTGTTATAAAAAAGAATAATTAAATGATTCAATCAATATTTTTAGAGTGAGGAGACTGCCTCAGAATATCCATTTGTCTGGTTGATATGTTTGGATGGTTAAGATTAAATCAATATGGTTGAATTCAGCCAAAGGCTATGTCTCCTCACATATTCTGGAGGACCTGGGCAATGGTGCCAAAGAATGGTCAACTGTTCACATCATTTGGTGTGCCTTTAAATGGCAGATTAGCATGACAAAGTAATGATGTGTCGGTCTCACTTTTGTTGCGGCCTTTGTAAATGAGTTTTTGAGAATTCTTGAGAAATTTCTTTTGTTAGGGAGTTTAAAATATATTTTGGTTTGGGAGTTTAATATATGATTGGTTTCAATGATTATATCAAATCCGTAATATTACATTGCTTGACTTGATGACTTCCCAGTAAGCCATATCGTTTTTGATTTTTGAAGCCTTTTTACAAGTTTTTTGTTTAAAGTGCTAAATTCTGTACGTACAACAATTATGTTGCATAATATTTTCTTTGTCCTTTGTCTTAATATTTACTGTGGATAAATTGTGTAAATTTTATGATTAGCTTTGGGGTGTACTTGATGTCTTTTTGATTTGCAGATCTTGAAGGCAAGACAGATCTTAAAATATGAGCTCTAGAAGAAGTAGAAGAGCTTACAACTAAAAGAGCAGATAAACAGGTACTTGATAGCTTCTTTAGATGTGGGATTTGAAATGGGTCTCTGAAAGTATTGATTTATTCATATCAGAATTTCTGATATTGACTATGTATTAAGTTCCTCATAATTTAATTCTTGTATAACATTTAGTCTCTTGGTATATATGATGCTTCTGTTTATTGTTATAGTCAACACTGCTTTTGGATGCATTCAATAAAGATCGAGCATCTTTGCGCCAACCATTGCTAAACCCTCCATCTTTAGCACCATTGCCTGTGCCTGCACCTGATCCTCAGACCCAGGAAATGATAAATGAGAAGCTGAAGAAAGCTGAGAATCTTGGTAAGACTCAGGTTACCTGAACTTCATTTTTTATGCATTTAAAGCAAGGAGAAAAACATCTTGAGTTCTTGACGATAGATATCTATTAAGGAGCATGTGTTAAATAACATAAACATCTTGAGTTCTTGACGATAGATATCTATTAAGGAGCATGTGTTAAATAACATAAACATCTTGAGTTCTTGACGATAGATATCTATTAGGTAGCATGTCTTAAATAATTAAATTCCTAGAAATGGAATAGCAGTAATTCTTAAGTTGTTTCTGAGCTATTTATTATGCCAATTTATGTTCCTTCCTGTTTGTGCTTTTACCTTTTTTCCCATAAAAAAACATCAATGTCAGAAAATTTGTTTCCCCTACCATTCCAAAACAATTGTCGATGGTTGATAAAGACTCAGTGCTTTACTATTTTTTTCAATTAACACTTAGTGCTTTACATTAACAATGCCTTTAGGGTGGTTTCATTTAAAATATACAGAAAGGCATTGAAATGTGTTGTACAAAGTTTTCAAGAATACATTATGTACTTATCAATGTTTTATTAATGGTCTTTCTTGCCCTCTTATTGTTGTTTAGGTGAGAAGGGGATGGCAGATCAGGCACAAAAAGCATTAGAAGAGGCTGAAGCACTCAAGAAGGTTTCAATTTGTGAATTTAGTAGTGTTATTTCTGTAGATTGATTTTTATGAACTTGCACCATTTCCTTCTCCTTGGTATGCCTTATTTATGGATGATTGTTTTTCCATATATGTTCAGTTCTCTGCCAGACAGGAGCCTATTCTGGATTCCTCAAAATATACTGCTGTTGATGTTCGCATTGTGAGTTCTGTTTTTCTTTCTTTCAGTTTCACAGAAGGAAAACTATGATAATAACTAGATAAGAAAACTAAGACACACTTGGACCTTATTGGGAAAATATGAATTTGATTTGCATAATTAATGCATGAACAGTCCCATCATAATTTGATTTTAGTCTAATTTTCTTTTAGTTCATTTATATGTTAATATTCTATCTGCTCTAATCTTTTTGATCCAATTTTGTTTCAGACTGATCAAAAGCTACGTGTTTTTGATATTTGTGGAGCATTTTTGAGTGTTTATGACAGGTACATTTTTTTATCCTCTACTACTTGATCATAGCCTTTTATCTTCTTTCTAAGGGCTTCAAAAAGTTAGTGTTTGGGGTTTCAAGTGCTTCAGCTTTTGACCTGGCTATTATACCTCCTTGTCACCAGCAGGCTTTCTGGGCCCAGTTTACGAGGATAACTTTTTTTTTTTTTTTTGATGCAACGAGGATAACTTTTGCAGCTACATCATGTGCGTCTTTTTCTGTTTTTGTACTTGTAGATCATGCAATTGTTAGATGATAAATATTTGGGAAACTGTATAATCTATAATGCATACTACTGCAGTATATATATTTTTTGCATTTTTTAAGTTTCTAGATCAAAGTGATTTGATTTTTCTTGTTTCTTTCAGTGACTGATGTTTAGCAGATCATTTTGGAGGCAAACTTCATTTAGGCCATATGCAAATCCGTGATAAATTAGCAGAACTTCAGGTAAGATGATTTACATGCTTAGTACATGCTGACTATCTATGGTGGCTCTGCTTTAAGTGTTTTAGTGCCTGGCATCCAAGCTGTGGGTTGTATAAATTGCCTGAACTATCCACATACTACATCTATTATTATTATTATTTAAATAATATGAACTTTATTCGAATGCCATTACCAAATGGATTCTAGTGAAACAGCAAATTAATACATCTTTTCCAGATCCCTTTAAGTTTGTATTGCGAATATGTTGGTCAGGTGCTGGTATAATGTTTCTCATTCTTCTATACAGATTCTCAGTTAGTATCATCTGTGAGTTTTTCTGACCTCAGAGAAGAATAATATCTTCCAGTTTTCAATTTCTTTTGATTGTTTGTCGATGTTGGACTTTAAAACATACTATTTTCTACCTTGTCTGTGCATATCGGGCTTAAAATGCATCAAATATTAAATGTCTTGGTGCTTAATCAATTTTGATAGATTAGTTTTTTCTGCTGAAAGAATGAAAGAAAAAGGAAACATGAAATCAAATAGGAGAGAAGTACAAGAAAGGAGTTTGTTGCAAGTAATGTAAGAAAAAAAAAAGAGCTTTTCATATGTTTAAAATCTGTGACAACAAATCTGATGAAGGCCTGGTTTGGTCAGGGTAAGTTGCCTACTAATTATGCTTACCACCATTAGAATTCTTTCCTAATGGTCCTTGTGCCATGTTATATTTTGCTAAATTGAATTGGCATTTAGGTTTTTGAAAGAAGCATTCAGTAGTATTTGCTGATTATTGTTTTCTCAGGAAGAGAGAAACAAGAGCCGCAAACTTGACCGGTATGATGACAGGAGGTAATCCTCTTATGGTTTCTTTTCCTTTTGCCTTTGGTAAACCATTGGGTGGTGAGGGGGGGTGTTGTGATATCCTTTTTATTGGTGGTGTATAGATAAAAAGAAAGAAGCAGAGATCATGAGAGAGAATCAAGTCGGGATCGAGACCGAGGGAATAGCCATGACTGAGGGAGGGATTATGATCGTAGGAGCAGGGACCGTGACAGGCATAGTGATCAAGATCGTGACAGGGATTATGAGCGCTCTCGGACTTATGATTCTAGAAGCCGCCACAGGTCACATTCAAGGTCTAGGGAACGCTCCAGGGATCATGATCGCCACAGGTACTTGTTTAACAATATCCCATGCTTGTACAACATATTATTAGTATTGTTTTGTGATCTTTTTTTAATTTATTAAATGTGTAATATAATATAATATTTGTTTTCTATTATTGTAAAATGTGCCAACCTGAGTCTTTTACCATTGTTTTCAAATTTAATGCTGAACTCTAGCTAGTATTTGAGTCCAAGAAGCTTAATATAAGATAAAAGCCAGGGACAGTTGCATCAAATGTATTTGAGGATGGGAGCTACAATCCTTTATGATTTTGGCAACGTAGAAACTCTTTTAGCCTGAAGCTAAATCCTTCTTTTCTTTATTTTTTTATTTTTTTGGAGCTTATATGCTCAATAAGCTAATTATAATTGTTTGTAGACAAAATGACCAAACTTGAGAAAAGAAATATTGAGTTAAAAGTTTTGATCTTAAGTTTTTATGTTCAACGAGACTTAACATATTGGCTAGTTTTGAATGTATTGTTCTAAATAAAGCATGAGGATAAGAATCTTACTCAGCCTTTTTGAGTGCTATCATCTGTAGTATATTTCCCTTATTATTGGAATACAGTATAGAGAAATGGTTGTAAATCTTGAATAGACCCAGAACCAATCATGCTTAAGGCATAGGGCGGTAGCAAACACCTGTACTGTAGATTCTAATGCTGTTTTTCTTCACATAAAAAACCCTGTTTTTTTTTTAATCTCATCTAAATTCTAAAATATCTTGACTATTGTTTGATTATGATGAGCTGATGAAGGGATGACATTCTTTTAGTACCTAATTATATTATGACTTGTTAGTTATTGCTTGGATTTGAATCTTGATCTTCACCTCAAAACCAAGTGATAGATATTTGCCTGCCTTATTTTTATTACCCTTTGTTTTGTGCCTGAAGCCTTTAAAGTTTTTTGTTCTGATAAGGATTATTCTTGAACCTTACTCATTGTTTTTAATCAGGTGTGACCGGTACTAGATGCATGAATGCTGCCAAGAAGAAAATGAATACGAAACTGTTCTTGCTTAGGTAAGCCGACTTATATAGGGGAGTAGCATTCCTCAGTTAAGTTATTTGATAGTTTGTCATGTGGTTGTATCAACATGTTTAAGAGGGTATTTGTTGTTTTTGGGTACCTAGAGATTAGGAATTGAATCTTTAACTTGTGGTTAAGAGTACAAGTAATTTTATCATCAGACCATATGGCTGACAAGAGGGTATTTGTTACTTGGTGATTTGTGTTTGGTATTCGGTATCATTGTGGATGTAAGTTTGGTTGATTTTACTATTCCAATTTGTATGTAGGGCAATTTTTCAGTCTAGTATCTAAAAGGAAAATTAATATAATGAGGTTGAAGTTTATTTTCTGCTTTGACGGCTTGATATTAAGTTGGCAAGAAATTTGAGGATGCTGGAAACATGATTCACACAATTATATCCAGGTTCAGTCTCATCTACTGGTAATAATGCATGATTGGGTGTGAATTGATATGCATGAAAGAATTATTTATGAAAAGAAAAATTTTTTGTAATTCTCAATCACTTGCTGTGCAAAAAGCATTAGATCAAATTACATCCAAAAGTTAAATGGGAAACCGCAGGGAATGGAAGCTCATCCATTGATACCAAATATCACTTAAAGAATCATCTATAAGGAGTGTGCTTTAAGTATGCAAATGCACATCTCCAATATGCAAAGTGGCTCAATCTGTCTCATCTTGTGTCGCCTATTATCACACACAGTAAAAAACATGTGAACCTCCCAGGGAACTATGTATCACAAAAGGAAAAGGAAATACCTGAGGCACCAAAATCTGTTGTGCATGTGAAAGCTAAAATTTATATTTAAAATTATGGTTTGCTTTGTGTATAAAAGAAAAAGAATGTAGCAAACCCATCAAAATGAACAAACCATATTCTAATTAGAAACAAATTACATCATAACCCAATTGATAATTATAAAGTAACATTTGTCTTCTGGATACTCTCTTTATCTGGAAAACACTATAAAGGATAGACAATTTAATTTTGGGCGCCAAGCAATGTGGCAACTTTGTAAAGTTCATATCCAACTTATGACTTATGACTAGCATTCAGACCTTATAGGAATTAAGAAAGCAACTTCTCAATATATATAGTTCCATATGTATAAGAAATGTACTTTTTATCATGCAAGTATGTATAAGAAAGCAACAGTTGTTTTCTTGAAGGATATTCTCTTTAATACTATAAAAAAACCCATAAATTTAAAGTCTTTGAATGAATTTAATAATACATAGTACAAGTTGCACATGAGTTCGAGAAATAGAAAAAATCTGTCCTTTTTTCCCTGTTTTTTTTGGTAGAAAAAAGGGATCAATTTTAGTTAGTGAGGTAATATTCTGGCCACCAAGCAATGTGACAACTTCACATCCAACTGATGCGTACACCATTCAGACCTGCAAGGAACTAAGCAAGCAGCCTCAATATACCTCCATGCATGTTTACGAGAGATGTACCTTTATCAAACAAGTGTAGAGAGATGATGGAAGCATAAGACCAACTCACCGTCAAATTTCACTTGGAAAGGACATGAGCCGCAATTTCTTTGATCTCAATTTTTAGAATCACCTTGACTCTGCAGATATAACAACAACATAATACTGACAGTGAAAGGAAAAATTGTAGTAAAAATTTTCCTTTTTAAAATCATGATCTATTAAGCGTTCATACATACCTTTCTAGTTTTTCTTGTTATTTTGAAGACTCTAAATGAAGATTTGTGTAAAAAAGAAAAAGAGATAGAACTTAAAAAAGGAAAAACCTAAGGAGATCTTTTGAATTAATGCATACCTTTTACATGAACTGTAGTTGTATGGTCGAGTTTAGGTTGCCATCCCAAAAGCCTTCATCTTCATCTCTAGTCAATTTTACTTTTTGTACTTTTGGTGTCCTTATTTCATCCATGGAGAAAGTCTGCATACTTGGACAATCCATCAAAATCACATCTTCCAAAAATGGGAACTCAAACTTGCATTTAACCGAGCAAAAGCTTGAAAGTCTAGGCAGACCACAAAGTTGCAAATACTTGAGTTTGCTAAAGACAATCTTATCCTTCACATCATCCTCCAAGCATGTGACGGTTTCCAACAAAGGTAGCGGAGTGGCCTTTTGAGCTTGTGATTGGCTAACACCAGGTTCATGAGACTCAAGTATCTCTTCAAGTGAATCACAGTTCCATATTTGGAGCTTGTCTAGTCTCTGAAGCCTTTTCAACATACTAAATGGGAAAATATTTAATAACTTTTCACATGAAACCACACTCACCAAAGTTAGTTGGCAAAAAGAATCTACTTCGAGCTGGTTGTTCCATATCTTATTCAAGCTCTTCACATGTTCAATTACCAAACGCTCTAATTTGGGGAATGCCACCTAAAGATTTACATAATTCAATTAAAATTAAACATAATTATATATGTAATGGAATGAAAATATTGGAATCTAATTTTTTTTCAAGTGTAAAACTTTAAGAAAATAATAATAGCATTATAAGATATTAAAAAGCAAAAAATAAAGGGAAAAAAATAACGGAGAAATCACCTTTGCATCAAAGAGAGAAAGTGTACAAGTGTTTTTGACATTTTCAGAACTAGCTATCATGTCTCCAAAAAAGAAGCTAGAGATGAAAGTCTTCAGCACAGGGCACTTGCTTATCTTAAGTTTCCAAAGGCATGGTAATTCCAAGTAATTTCCAGAACAAAATCTTGTGAGTTTTGGAAGGTCTTGGAGCAATAGGAACTCCAGGTTAGGGAAGAAAATCTTGCACATCCTTTCCTCATCCATTGATTCTTCTACATGTATTACCTCTTCCATCATATTACAATCACAAATCTTAAGCCAATTCAGTTGCTCAAAACTCTTAACCATAGAGGATGTCAATAGATATTCCAAATTACCACAACCCTCCACACACAACTTTCTTAAATTTTGGACAAAAGAAGAGATTTCTAGAATTGAATTGTCCAAAATTTGTTGAATGTTATTCGAAGACAAACTCAAAAACTCCAAGTTAGGAGTCTCTACCTGCAAAGATTCTTAGTTAGTCTATTAATATAAGACAACAAGAAGATGACTATCGTATTTGCTTAATTTTAACTGAAGACAACTTCAAAAACTCCAAGTTGAGAAAAACTCAACCTAATAGAAACTTCATGCTAATAGAAACCTCATGAAAAAGTTCTTTTTTTTTTATTATTGATTAAAGGATAATCCAAAAGCAAGAACATGAAAATGATGTGCAATTATGTGAAGTAAATTGATATTTTGAGTAGAAAATAGCCAACTCTTTTTAGACTTAAACATTATTTGGGTCAATGCAGGGCAAAAAAGAAAAAAATATATTATTTGGATCAATAATCTTATTTTTAAACTTGAGTAACTTCACATTTTAAGTGGTGATGTACCAGCCAAGAATCTTTATTTTCTAACCGTATATTAAGTGGAACTTATATGGGGAGATTCATTCATGTGGTTAAAGAGGTAGCTAGAGATGGTAACACTGACATGCGAAAAGCAAACATAAATATGCTGTAAAATCTTAATTACAAAAAATAAATATAAAAAATAAACCATGTTGCTGTAAAAAAAAAAAAAAAGAAAGAAAAGGGAAAAGAAGAAAAGAAACTGACCTTGCTGCTAAGGAGGTATTGATAGTCCTCTTTGTCGTGCTCTTCTGAGGATGTAGAAGCAGCACATGTGACCATCTTTGGGCAGTCCTTTACAATAAAATCACTTAATTGTGGAAGCTCAAGACTATGACTTCCGACATAGAAACTTGTCAAATCTGAGCAAGATTCTAGATTGATCAACCAAAGATGTGGGAATTCCATTTTATATTTTGCTCCTTCTCCCATTATCACTTGTTTCATTGTTCCACAATTTTTTACTATTAACTGAAAGAGTTGCACGAGGCCCAAGGCCATTGAATCCGTTAATAGGTACCTGAACTTGCTACAATCACAAATTTCCAACACCTGAAGTTGTCTAAAATCTAAGAGTTCTTGAGGATTCTTGATATGCCATGTTTCCAACAACTTGGGAAAATTTGACAGCATCAAATGTTGTAACCCAGCAAATCCAACCTATGCAAGTGCCCAAAAAAAAAAAATGGTAGTTATATATAACGAAATATAAATAAATCAAATAATTTTTTATAAAAAGAATGCTGGCTTCAAAAATATCTAGAATGCAATTCATACCTCTTCCATATACATTCTTTGTATGGTGGTATTAAGGTCACCTTCCCAACGCCACTTGTCCTCTCCTTCAATTAATTCTACTCTCTGTAGTAGTGGTGTGTCTAGGTCACCCTCATTGAAGATCATCAATTTTGGGCACTGAATCACAATTAACTTTTTCAAAGATGGACATTTGAAGGTGAAATTCCCTGAACAAAAGCTTTCTAATCTTGGCAAGTGTGCAAGTTTCAAAAATCTTAATTTAGTAAAAGTGATCATGATCAAATCTTGCGTTTCATTTCCTTCATTTTCAACTATTTCAGTCAACATGTAGCACCATGCTACAGTCATTCTTTCTAACTGCACCAGACTTTGGACTATCGAGATGGAAACCAAGTTTACCATTGCTCCACAGCTGATTATATTCAAAGTTACGAGATTCTGGAAAGAGGCAGGTGATGTTGTCAAGCTAATCAAACTCTCACATCTAAAAACTCGAAGAGTTCCAAGATTTTGAAGAACAATTGATGAGTCATGGCTCCATATATGCTTGAGATGTGGAAGGATCGTTAGATTTAATGTTTTAATCCTTGAGAGTGTCTCAATTTCAATGTCTTTCTCTTGTTCTTCAACTTCTCCTTTTGAAGGGAACAGCTCTTTAAAATTACAACAGTTCACGACAAGATCTTCTAGATGGCAGAATCTTTGTAGGAATTTGATGGGTAAAACATCTGACTCATTATCAAGATAATCACGAATTTGAAGGACTTTGATATTGAAAGAGAGGTCTTCTTTAAATTGGTGTTCACATATCACTGTAATGTCATGTCTTGTTAATGACAATTCTTCCAACTGAGATGTGAGCTAGAAAGGAATCCAATGCAATAAAATGTATAAGTTGTATGTTTTTCCTTAATGAGATTTTATTTTGTTTATGAAAAGGAGAAAACTATTAAAAAATATTGTTCATTATTTAACACGGCAACCAATATACTTTTATTGCCTATTGAATAAAAACATCTCTTTTCGTTGCTAATAGGAAAAAAAAAAAGAAAAAGAAAGAATAAAAACTGCTCTATACTACATTTTTGGGTGGCAAGAGTTAGTTATATCACATATTCACATACCAAATACTTTAAAATCTAATAACATAAAGATTCCAAAACAATAACGGCACAATAAAAGAAATAATCTGAATTGTCACATGCATTTGTCACATAAACAATATTTTACCAAGAAAACCATTTAGGTCTTACCAAACAAGTAATTACTACTGCAATTCAATATTATTTCCATGTATAGTAGATTACTAGAAATTACTCTCATTTCATTATATATATTGGAAGCAAGGAATTCTTTTATTATTTATTTTGGTAAAGAAGCTATGTACCTTCTCTATGGAGAAAAGCGATAGTTGTACAGGGAAGTCAAGTTGCCAACTGCCATCTGTTCTCTTTACTTGATTGAAACAGGAAAAGTAAAACTTTTTTAACATTGGCCACGCTGTTGTGTGCTGCCCTGGATAAAAACATTGGAGTCGTGGTAGCCCCCCAAGTTCAAGACTTGATACTCGAGGAAGTTCAAAGTTAACAATTGCTTCAATTCCCTGTTCTCCTATTGTAACAATTTCCTCCACCCCGCACCTCCATAAATGTAGCTTTTGAAGTTGCGAAAGGCTTTTGCCTATTGAAGCTGGAAACAAAATTTGGAGTCTGCCACAGTGTTGTACCTCTATTGATTCCAAGCTGTGGAAAGTGAGTATGCCTTGGGGATCCTTATTCCACACATACTTCAATTTTGGTATAGCATAAATATTCAATTCTCTCAACTTTGTGTCTATTATAGCATGTGTTTGTTTGACATTGAACTCGACAATTCCAAATACTACTTCTAGCGAGCCACAAAAAGATAAAATTAACTTCTCTAGGGATTTCCATATTCTTCCCAGCATATCAGCAGATGGAAAAACAGTGGATAACTTCTCACAATTTTCAATCGTTAATGATTTTAGTTTGCCAAAGGAATCTGCATGGAATTGGTTGTGCCATATGATATTCAAGTTTTTCAAGTGGGTAAGAGTCAGACTTTCCAAGCTGGGAAAAGCAACCTACATAATGAATGCATCATGCCACATTTAGATTAGTTCCTTAAATTAATGCAAAGACAAAATGCTAGTGAAATGAGTAAAATTTACCTGTTCATTGAAGAATGGTTGTTTGTCATCAGTGATATTTGTGCTTGCAAAATATTTAACAATGAATCCTTCTAACTCTGGGCAGTTCAGTACTTGCAATTGCTTCAAGGATGGAAATTCAACAATACAATTCCCTGAGTAGAATCCAACAATGTTTCGAAGGTCTTTTAGCAATAGGAAGTTCAATTGAGGAAAAATTAAATTCTCTTTTTCTTCTGCATTATCTGTGACAATTATCTCTCTCATCCTCTTACACTCCCTTATTTCAACTAGACCGAGCATCACTAGACCTCTAGCTATAGAAGATGAAAATAAATACTCCAAATTATCACAGCCTTGAATGATCAATTTCTTCAGTTTCTCCACACATAAATGTGTTATTGAAGGGTGCCATTTGATGTTAACATTCATCCAACGTAATTGCAGCTCCTCTAGATTTGGTAACACAACCTGCACAACATAGAATTCATTTTGTAGTAAAAGCTTATCATTTTGTTGATGGATTAGAAAAAGGATGGTCAAACATGTTAAACATGGTAGAGTCGGAGGAGTCGATCAATGTGTTCCTCAACAGTAGGAACTATTGGTAGGGTCTTAGCTCCATACATTTCCACATAGTATAATCCAGTTATATGATCAGTCAATTTTGGGGTGGTAGGCAAATCTAAGAGGAAAGCTTGGTCTTTACTATGCTGTTATAACTTGGATTGTATGGAAATGCAAGAATGAAAGGTTATTTAAAGGGGAGGACTAGTTTGTCGATATGGCTCTCAAATTGATTGGAAGGAGATCATTAATGTGGACAAAAGCCAAGGTGGATTGTTGTTTATCCAGATCGGTGTCTAAATCTTGCTCTTCGTGCTTTGAGACTGACCAACAAAAGAGGTTAGAAGATGAACAAAAGCAAAACTTTCATCATAAGGCCAATGCAACAGAATAAACCAGAGGTAACTGCACTATTCTACAAATTTTGACTGTGCATTGGGTTTGGAATGTATTTATTTGTGAACGAATGAAATGACAATCCCAAAGCAAGAACATGAGAAATGACATGCATATACATTTAGGATAGTTTAACATAATTTTGGCAATCAACCAGTTTTCTTAAATTAGTAATTTTACCTTAATTTTTGAGTGAGGAAGTGGAAGAATTTCAAGCTACAATCATTTAAAGTAATTAACATATTTATAAAGGTAATTATGCGAGATAATATAGCAGTATCAACATCAAAAGTATGAAAACTCTGTAAAGAGAAGTAAAATAAATAATTTTTAGGAAATAACTAACCTTCTCACTGAAGAAAGGTTGAGTAGGTGTTTCAGGCCTTTGTTCACTTGCTTTGTCATTTG